TTGAACACACACACACACACACACACACACACTTCCATTAATCAACTCAAAAGAAGCTGCTGCTACAGAACCACTAACATATTCAAACAGTTACCTAATTGCCATGCTACTACCAAGTCACAAGGGCACCTATGCAATGGTTAATTCAAAGCCTGCCAAGGAAAATGGCTTAATCCTGAGATGTTTCCATGTATCAACTAGTTGTAATAGCAAGTACTAAATCAGGAGTAGTAAGTATCCTGCATGATTCCTTTTGTTTTTGCATTTCAAGGGTTCTTGTTCCCTGTAGTCTGACTTTGGAATTAGTATCTTTTATTCTCTACTATTAGAAGCAGTATATTAATTCAAGAGAATAAGAGTCACTGGCCATCCATCAGGAAAAATTGGGAATAGAATTACAAAATATCTGAAGGACACTAACTTGTGTTCTGCCTTTGCATCTGTGCCAAGAAATGAGTACACTAATCCTAATACTGTAGGTTTTTTAGAAATAAAAAACTTGACTGCCTGTGAATATCAAAAATAAGCCTGTAAACCTGGATACAAAGATTGTTTGATTTAAAGTATTCCCAATTTTAGTGATGCATAATTCAACATTTGACATCTGTACATTATACCTTTCTTTTAATCAGTCTGAATTCATGTATTTGTATTGTGAACTTCATGTGAACAGATTGTAGTTAAAATCCTTTTGAATATACATTAAAAATTGATTGTGGTATTTTATTGTTAATTTTGATCATTTAGCAGACATCTTAGATGCAGGGTGTAATTAAAATCATAATTCTAGATATATATATGCAACAGCAATAGCCCTTCAGTATAACATAATTATGCTAAAAATAATTAAGTCCAGGTGCTGATAAAGCAGCTATTTGGTGATTTATCATTTCATCAAAGCTTCAAAATTCTTTGGAATGTAATGTCCAAGAGAAAATTGTAAATGGAATAATAATACATTGGTCATCTACATACATAGTAATTTGTTAAACTGCTTTGGTGTTGTAGTCACTGAGAAATCTTTAAGAATGTGTGAACAAAATCTCAATCAAGTAAGAGTGACAGCCACATACAACTCACATGGAAAGAGAACGGGTACGCATGCATTTCAAATGAAACATCACTCAACTTCATCTTCCAAACAAACATTATATCTGTGAAATAGTAAGAATTGTTTGACATAGCACTATTATTTTAACTTTTGCCAAGCCTGACCAGCCTGTATTCAGGAAATGCTTTGCAAGGCTCCAGTATAATTATCCACTTAATTTGCTAATAGATAGTCGGATGTAGCTAAAAGTAGAACAGAAATAATAGAAATTAGTGAATGTTACACTGGGGTAGAATGATCCCTCCCTTAATAAATTTATATTGAAATTACTGTAATGTCCCAACAGGGGACTGCTTTTGAACCTAAATTCAAAAGCTTTAACTGATACAAAAAGCTGCTAGTCAGTTAGTGAGCTACATGCAAGATACTCCCAGCTACTTGTGCTGCCTGCCTGTTCACTTTGGCTGAAAGCCAGGTCTAGCAAACAGGTTAAGATTCAGAAGACTGAGACTGAAATTCATCCTCAGCCAGGAAAGCTTACTATAGGACTTTGGATCAGTATCTTTCTTTCCATTCAACCTACTTCACAGGATGGTTATCCATAGGGGAAATTGAAAGAGGTGCCTTGAATATCACCCTGAAATCCTAGAGAAAACACTTAAACAAATGGCTTACTGCTACTATAACTGGACTAGATTCAAGTATTTTTCTTGCTGTGTACAAATACAGCCTCTGTAATATCTTATGCAGGCTTGATTATGGTGCCACTGATAGCCGATATTATCTGTACAAGGACCTTCTCAACTTTAACATTCTCACTATATGGAATTAGGTGCCTTGAATTGAGCAATTTGCTTCACGTTAGGCTTCTTGTTCTTCATTAGGCTTTTGGATCACTTTGATGCATTGACTGCTACTGATTTCTCACTTAACGACCACTCATTCAGCAACTGTTTGAACTTATGATGGTGCTGGATGAGTGGTACTTATGACGGGTCCTTGCAATTATGACATTGCGGTGTCCTGCAGTCAAGTGATCACCATTTGCAACCTTCACTGCCAGCTTCCTACAAGCAAAAACAATGGGGAAGCCAGCAGAAGATTGCAAATGGTGACCATGTGATGTCATGCTTAACAAGGTCATGGGATTCACTTAACTCTGGCAACTGGAAGTGCTGGAACTGCCGCTAAGCAGTGTGGCCACGTGATGTTGCACTTTACGACCATATCACTTAGTGATGAACGTTCCAGTCGCAATTAACATTGTTAACCGAGGACTACCTGTAGTGTTTTTAAAAATTTTTGCTGATTTGTAATTCTATATTTTTATTTCTGTAAACTGCTCTGTATATTGTTATAAATTATTCCTCCTTCTCGAATAATACTTTTGGTTTTGGACTTGACAGCCATGCTTAACAGGTCTCATCAATTGGCACAAAATACAGGGATTCTAATTCAGCACACATGGACTTGAAAAGATATCAGTTTGGAAACTTCCTTAAAATAAAGCTTATTTATATTACTAGAAAACTGTTTTATAAGCTTAGTCTATCTCTCATATAGGCAAACATTCCTATTCTTAACTGCTTTGAATTTGGCGTTACTTTTAGATGTGATGTGATTTCCTGGCAGTTTCTACTGAATGCATCTTATTAACTACATTCACATACAAAAGACAATAACATTATCTTTTCAACAACAATGATGAAAACAACATGAGAAAAGACATTCTATTGCAGAACTTATCACATGAATTCTTGACCTCAACAAGCAAGCTCATTTTACAATTTCACAATGCTTCTGCATTGTTCACATTTTTCTTATAACACATCATCTTCTTCCAAAACAGAAGCTTCAAAATATATTTCCTTGAGTACTATTAAATACTCATTCTATTAAATAAACAAATCCATGCCAAATGCAGATTCTGGCATCTTAAAGTGCTTATGAATAATGAAAGTAATATCTGGTTTCTGATATTTATTTTGGTCTTTAATGTGACAGAAATGTTAACAGTGAAACATTGGTACCTTGAAGGTTAACAGTTCACTGTAGCATAAGCTTTTAGAGACACAACAGATCTGCTCTTTTAAAGGTGCCAAATATCCCCCCACACACACACACACACCAGCTTTTCCTATCAACTTAGCAAGGCTATGCTACTGGAATAACACTGCATTTTATTATTTTTGATGTGTTTGCCTTCTCCATCATTAGCATACTTCATATTTGTCCTTCACTCAGTGCATCTTTTATATTTGTAATCTGATGAGCAATGTTCTAATGTTGTAAATATGAATAATTTGCATCATCAATCTAAGTTGACTTAAATAGTATTAGGTATATTAGCATTTTGTGCATACCTTTCCAGAAGGAGCTAAGAGTCACTAATTAAACATTAATTGGACTACCAAAGCCTCTAACAATATTATTTCAACAAAAGTCAAAGAAAAGACTACCTTAAACTGTACAAAACTAGAACAGGTTTAACTGTCAATTTCAAGTATACACATGTATTTAAGTCCCTTCTACATATATACATGTACAAACCTGCATCTATGTATATGGAAGAGAAATAATATAAAGATTTTCTGCAGTACAATTGTAATATAATCAGAGCCCCAACATACAGTATCTGTATATACTCAATTGAGGAATTTATCATTTTTGTATTAAACTCTTTTAAAATATTACATGTTATTGCCAGTATTTAAACAGCAACAGGTTAAAAGCCACTGCTAAAATTTCCATGGGATCTAGAATATCAGTTTGATATTCAATTAATTTAAGAAGTTTAAATGAATTTATTAGAATTGTATGAAGCACCTCAAAATTCAGCTACCTCCCTTCCCAAGGTCCTTTACTTTGTCATTGGGTAATTGGCTGATTTCCCTAGGCTTGTGTTCTGGAGGATTTCAATCTCTATGCCTTGGGAATGGGATTGGGTGCAGGAGTGCATGGATGGTCCATCAATTTCTTCCAAATGTTCATGGCCAAGACTCACATTGACAGCATGCATAGGATCTGGTTTTTGCCTCAGAACCTGTGTGACCTAAGAATGAACTATTAACATCAGTCCTTTGTCATAGTCATATCACTATCTGGTAATCTTGAGGCTCACATCCTGACCTCTACGTTGGTTTAACTCAAGAACCTAGTTAAGGTCTGGAAAATGGGAACACGAAAGTCCCAGTGGCCCGATTCAGAATGCTGCATGCTTTATCAAGGAGTTCTAAGAAATTAAAGGCCTGAATAAATGCAAAAATGATTGGATGCAGATACGGGCTCAAGTTTTTTGCACTTACTATGTCTCTGGAATGCCAGCCTGCAGTCATATATAGAGTGATGCACTGGGCAGTATGGGCCTGGAAGACCTGCCTGCTGACCACTGGGGGCAGGCTGATAGGTATTTTAAGACAAAACTGCTTACTTCTGCTCTGAATTGAATGCTAAATGGTCTGGGCCTCATGAGATGACAAAAGCATTACCTTGCAAAGTCATCTGGGGTTACTTTGAACCTGTGACTTGAAATGGATAAAGTCCACTGAGAGTTCAACTCAGCCAATTGTAAATTAGATCCTTGTCTCTCCTGGCTGATGAGGGCTGTTGAAGAAGGGAACAACAGGGTGGATACAAATGGTAAACATGTCATTGAGACAGCATAGAAGAATGTCTAGATGATCTTGGAAAAGCAGAGGAGAAAAAAGAACTGTAGCAAAAGAGACACCTCAGCCCAGGGCAGGGGGAAAGCATGAGAAAGAGATTCAACCTTAATTATACTAGGTATAAGTTGAGTGGGAGAATTGCTGAGCAGGCTTTCAGGATTTGGTTACTTTATCCTACTAACAAAAGTCGTATTTCCAGAAAGCCAAGTAGCTCTTGTTTTCTGAATATACCAGCCTTACAGAGCCTGAGAGGGAGGGAGTGTTATTGAGGGACTTGAAAGAGGTGGTAGGATGCCCTTTCTCAAGAAACTGTGGCTCAATCTGGCTGCTCATCTATAGAAGATTTGGGGTTTTGAATGATTTCACTTTTGTAAGTTGTCCAGAGTCCTGCGCAGCAGACAGCACATCAAAATTATAACAAATGAATAAATAATTTCCAATCCTCCTCTCTTCCCCATTTCCACTGTTTATATTTTAAAGGAAAAATGCAGATACATTAACTATATTAACATATCATTAGCCCTAAAATCTGTCAAGGAACAAGAAAATTATGTGAACTTTTTTTGCAAAAGGAAAAGGTAACATAAACATAACCACGTGTGCAATCCTAAATCACTGGGTGCATGACCTGAAGTCTATTCTCATTTCCTGGAACAATTCTACCTGTGCTTTGCATAAATATATTCTGAATTCAGTATACAAAAATGGACACAGTGTTTATGAAGATAATTTTGTACACAGTGGTGTTAAAACATTTGTATCCTTACCCCAAAACTCATCTCTACTCTACAAAATTGCTTTAGGCTTCTTTGCATTTTTCATATTGATTGCTCAGGTTTCTCATAACAGACAGGGTCTTCCTTTCAATTATAGGTCATTTCTTTACTGTTGAATTAAAGTGCTATCCACCCATCTTTGAGTGAGAAGAAAAAATTAAAAGCATGACATTTCCTGCCCCACTGCCAATTTCTATGCTGTCTCTATTGCCTTT